GGACTGCTGTGCCTCGTTAGTCCCATTTGGTTTTATGGGGTATTTGACTTTTTTTCCTTGCTTTTTCTGTGATTGATTTCTGCTTTAATGGCTTTATGGTCAGAAAAGATGCTTTGTAGTATTTCAGTATTTGGATTCTGTTGGCCTAATATGTGGTCTATTCTGGAGAATGTTCCATATGCATTGGAAAAGAAAGTATACTTGGCTGCTTTTGGGTGGAGTGTTCGATTTATGTCTATGATATCAAGTTGGTTGATTGCAGCATTTAGATCTTCCATGTCTTTAATGAGCTTCTTTCTGGATGTTCTGTCCTGCACCGAAAGTGGTGTGTTGATGTCTCCTACTACTACTGTGGCACTGTCTATCTCTCTTTTCAGTGCTGTTAGAGTTTGTTTTATGTATTTTGGAGCCCTGTCATTGAGTGCATTAATATTTATTATGGTCCTCCGGGCGTATTGACTCTTTAATCATTATATAGCATCCTTCCTTATCCTTTGTGGTGGATTTTACTTTCAAGTGTATTTTGTCAGAGATTTATATTGCCGCTGCTGCTCTTTTCTGAGTGTTGTTTACTTGATATTTTTTTTCCATCCTTTGAATTTTAGTTTGTTTGTGTCTTTAAGTCTAAAGTGTGTCTCTTGTAGGCAGCATATAGATGAATCGTGTTTTTTTATCCAATCTGACACTCTCTGTTTCTTTATTGATGCACTTAGTCCATTTATATTCAGCATAATTATTGATAGTCGTGAGTTTTGTGCTGTCATTTTGATGTCTTTTTTTGTGCGTTGTTTACAGTTTCTTTGTTCCATTAAATGTTCTCTGCTGAGTTGTTTTTCTTTATGTATTTTATTTTCATCTTTTTCATTGTTGTTGATTTTGTATTTGCTGAGCCTTTATATTTTTGTTGTTTTTTATTTTGATTTGTAGGATTGTTAGTTTCCCTTGTGGTTACCTTAATATTTACCCCATTTTTCTAAGTTTAAACCAGTCTTTTATTTCTTTACATTGCTTTGACTTCCTGTTCATATAAAAAATCTGTCTACATTTTTTAGTCCCTCTTTTTTGTTTTACTGTTGTCATCTTTTACATTTTGACTTCTTTGTTTCCTTATTGTCAGTGTTTTAGGTTTGATTTATTTTTGTGACTTCCCTATCTGGGTTGATATCTGGTTGCTCTGTCCTGTGTTCTAGTCTTGGGTTTTTTCCTGATGTTATTGATTTTCTAACTGGAGGACTCCGTTTAGTATTTCTTGTACTTTTGGTTTGGTTTTTGCAAATTCCCTAAACTTCTGTTTATCTGGAAATGCCCTAAGTTCACCATCATATTTGAGAGACAGTTTTGCTGGACATATAATTCTTGGCTGGCAATTTTTTTTTCTTCAAGTCTTTATATATATGCCATCCCATTGCCTTCTTGCCTTCATGGTTTCTGCTGAGTAGTCTGAGGTTATTCTTATTGACTCACCTTTGTAGATGACTTTTCATTTATCCCTAGCCGCTCTTAAAATTCTCTCTTTATGTTTGGTTTTGGCAAGTTTCATTATGATACGTCTTGTTGACTTTCTTTTGGATCTACCTTATGTAGGGTTCGATGAGCATCTTGGATAGATATCTTCTCATCTTTCTCCATGTTAGGGAAGTTTTCTGCCAACAAATCTTCAACAATTATCTGTGTATTTTCTGTTGTCCCCCCCTGTTATGGTACTCCAATCACACGTAGGTTATTCCTCTTGATAGAATCCCACATAATTCTTATGGTTTCTTTATTTTTTAAAATCCTTTTATCTGATTTTTCCTCAAATAAGTTGGTGTCAAGTGCTTTATCTTCAGTCTCACTAGTTCTGACTTCCATTGCCTCAATTCTGCTCCTATGACTTTCTATTGAGTTGCCTAATTCTGAAATTTTATTGTTAATCTTCTGGATTTCTGATTGCTGTCTCTCTATGGGTTCTTCCAGCCTGTTAAATTTGTCATTATGCTCTTCTCTAATCTTATGTTCCTCTATTGTATGTTCTGCATTTTGATAAATTTCCTTCCTGATCTCTTGAAGAGTTTGTATATTAATCTTTTGTATTTTGCCTCTGGTAATTCCAAGAAATTTTCTTCCTCTGGAAAATTTCTAGATTCTTTATTTTGGGAGCTTTCTGAAGCCATCATGGTCTGCCTCTTTATGTGACTTGATATTGACTGTTGTCTCTGAGTCACCAATAATTTATTATATTTATTTATTTTTATGTTTGCTTACTGTGTCCCAGATTCTTATTCTGTTTTGTTTTGATATGCCCAAATAGGCTGCTCATATGAGGTAACCCTATCACCAGTGCCCCTGAAGCTCCAACATCCTGCCACCAGGTGGCCAGATCTGCCACTAAGTGTGTGAGCCCAGGAGTCTGCCCACTGCTCCGGTATGGATTCAGCTCAGGTGTCCAGGTATTTGACCACCAAATGTGTGGTACAGGCTCTCACCTACAGTCCTAGACAAGCATGGGTGATTGATGTAGGCACAGGCATCTGGCTGCAGCAGGGGGACACACACTGAGCAAGGCAGTGGGCCAATGGCTGCCCTCGAGTATCCAGGAGGAAAGTGTGTCCCTGTTCCCTATAGCATGTGGGTAGGTGGTTTTTGCAGCCAGACTATGAGCACCCAGTGTTGTTGACTGTAAGGACTGGGGGGCACCTCTTATTCTTGGGCCCCCGTCGCTTGTGGCTAGGTGGTGTGGGTAGAGCCACCAGTCCTCAGGCCCCTGATGTGGGTAGGTGAAGACCCTAATAGGCAGAGCAGTGTCAAATGTCACGAACCTGCCACTTCACAGCTGAAACAGTTGAAGTTAGAGTTCAGGTATATACCCTATTGTACTGCAGTAATGAGGGCCTATGCTGTTGAAATGGGCCTACACCTGTCTGTGCAGGGGAAAGGCACTCAAAGTCCATGGATCCCTTATGCCTGTGCCTAGGTAAAGGAGTTGTGCTTACCCTGAATTCCTGGCTTAGGGGAGCGAGCAGATTATTTTTTCCCCTGTTTATTAATTTTTTCCCTCTTCAAGGCTGGGAGAATGGCTCAGCACATGTGACGGGTCCTACTTCCAGCCCAGGGAACTCGGCAGTTTCTGAAACCATCCCGGACCCAGTGTAGAGCAGGGAACAGGGAGGTAAATGGGAGAGAGGTTTTTCCCTAAGGGGGGTGTTTTTGATTTGCACAGTAGGCCAGACACAAGTACTTATCTTTGGCCGCTTGAAGCCTGCTTCTTACTGGTTCTGGGTGGCTGAGTAGACTATCTGCCACTGGGTCTCTCCCGATGTGGAAAACACCTCCCAAGTGCTGCTTCTTGCCTTCCTTACTGTGCACCCTGAGCTGATCCAGGCTGAAGGGCTCTGGCTCCCGCTGGGTCAGGTCTGGCAACTCCTCACTGCTTCAGAATGGTCTCTCCCTCCACCTGCTATTCAGTCCGATTTCTCAACTTTGACTTTGATGTTCAGGGCACCTAGATTGTCAGATATAATGGATTTACCTTTTCTGGGGTCTTTGTTGTAACAGGGACCACCGGATGTGTCTGACTACTCTACATCTTGGCCCCACTTCCCCCTCTGGAAAATTCTTGATTTCTTTGTTTTGGGAGCCTATTGGAGACATCATGATCTGTCCCTTTATGTGATTTGATATTGACTGTAGTCTTCAAGCCATCAATAATTTATTATATTTGTTTATTTTATGTTTGCTTACTGTGTCCTAGCTCCTTGTTTTGTTTTGTTTTGATATGCCAAAATAGGCTGCTTGTGTGAACTAGTTTGATTATGAGCGCCTTTGAATCTCTAATGTCCTGACTCTGGGTGGTTAAATCTGTTACTAGGTATGTGAGTCTGTTTACTTGTCTTGTATGGATTCTGCTCAGGTGTCCAGATAGTTGGTTACCAAGTGTGTGGTGCAGGCTCTCACCTTCAGTCGTATACAGGCAGGGGTGATTGGAGTAGGCATAGGTATCTGGCTGCAGTAGGATGTCAGCTGCTGAGCAAGGCAGGGGGCTGATGGCTGCCCCTTAGTGTCTGGGAGGAAAGCGCGTCCCTGTTCTCTAGAGTGTGTTGGTAATTGGGTTTTGTAGCCGAGCTGTGAGTACCCAGTGCTGTTGGCTGTAAGGACTGGGAGTTGCCACTTTTTCTTGGACCCCTGTTGTAGGTGGCTAGGTGGAGTGGGTGGAGCCACCAGTCCTCAGGCTCCTGATATGGGTAATTGAGGACCCTGATTAATGGGCAGAGCGATGTCAAGTGTCACATACCTACCACTCCACTGTATACCTGATAAAGTTAGGCTTCAAGTATATACCTTGTTGTACTGTGGTAATGAGGGCCTACATTGTTGAAATGGGCCCACACAGGTCTATGCAGGGGTGAAAGGCATTCAAAGTCTGTTTACCCCTTATGCCTGTGCCTAGGCAAGAGAGGTTTTCCTGCCCTGAGTTCCCGGCTTAGGAGAGCTGGCTGATTATCTTTTCCTGTTTCTTAATTTGTTCCCTCTCCATGGCTGGGAGAATGGCTCAGGGCACATGACGGGTCCTACTTCCGGCCCAGGGGAAGTGGCAGTCGCTGAAGCTGGCCTGGGACCTGGTGTAGAGTGGGGAGGGAGCAGGTAAATGGGATAGAGGTTCTTCCCAAATGGGGTGTATTTTGATCCATGTGTTAGGTTAAATGCATGTAGTTATCTTTCGCCGATTGAGCACTACTTTTCACTGTCTCTGGATGCCTGAGTAGAATCTTTGCCACTTTGTCTCTCCTAATGTGTAAAACACGTCTGGAATGCCACTGCTTGCCTACTGCACACCGCAGCCGATCTGGCCTGCAGGGTGCCGGCTCCTGCCTGGTCAGGTCTGGCAACTCCTCGGTGCTTCCGAACCATCTCTTCCTCTCCCTGCCACTCAGTCCGGTTCCTCAGCTTTGCCTTTGATGTTCAGGGCTCCTAGATTGTCATATATAATTGATTCACTTGTTTTTTTGGGTCTTTGTTGTAAGAGGGACCAGCGGAAGCATCCAACTACTGCTCCATCTTGGCCCTGCCTGCAGGCAAGTTTCTTGATTTCCTTTACTTATTAAATATCTATATAGGGCTTACTATATGTCAGCAACTGTACCAGGAACTTTATAAATATTAGGTCATTTAATTCTCCTAACAGTTCTATGAATTAGGTACTGTTATTCTTATTTAGCAATCCCCAGGTGGTACAAATGGTTAATCAAGCACTTGACTGCTAGCTGAAAGGTTGGCACTTCAAACTCACCCAGCGGTGCCTTGGAAGACAGGCCTAGTGATCTGCTTCTTAAAGGTTATAGCCTTAAAAACCCTATGGAGCAGTTCTACTCACAGACGGGGTTGCTATGAGTTGGAATCTACTCAAAAGCAACTAACACCAACACTCCTTATTTTATAGATATAAAGAAGGTGGTCCAATTTCACTTAGCCAGAAAGTGTTGAATGTGTGCTGAGTGCTCGTAACTATTCCACTCTGTGATCACTCTATAAGCCTGATCTCATAAGCTTACACATTCCTTGTATTAAAAAACAAAACAAAACAAAACAAAACAAAAACAAAAAAAACAAACAAAAGAACACATACACAGTGAGAAAAAAAAAAAAAAAAGGAGGAAAATAAAAACCACGGATAATTTGGCCACAGTTAATATTTTAGTATCTGTGCTTCATTCCATATATATGTATGTGTAGAGTATGTGTGTGTGTTTAAACATATATGATCTTATTGATCGGTTACCACTTATTTTCACAGCATATTATAAATGTCTTGCAGGCCAGTACCTTTTTTTTGGATATAATTTTATGTAGTTTTGTAGTGTTCCATGGTTTAGCTATATCATGATTTGTCTAACTAACCTCCTACCGTTTAACCATGCTTGTTATTTTTTAATTTTATGAACCTTGCTCTATATTGATAATATTGATACAACTAAATCTTTCTACAAACCGATGATCATTAAAAAGTTTCTTAGTTAAGAATGGTATTAAAATTTTGTGAATATTTATGCAATATCCACATTTAGCCTATGCCTTATGAAAATGTCTCTGTTGACAATGTAAACATACTTTTCCTTCTAGGTTGGTGGATGATAGATGTGTGGTACACCCAGAGGCGGGGGACCTTACCAACCCTCCCAAGAAGTTTAGAGGTAAGAAATACGTATTTTTGATTATGTCATCTAAGGGGGATTATTTTTGTGTTTAAAAATAAATAATAATAAACTTTATTCAATATGAAATTTTCAGATATAAATGTGTCCACTGAAAAGTCTCTGAAAAATTTTCCCATCATTTTTCTTCTTTTACATATTGAGGGATTTACAATGAAGTAATAATTTCAAGCTTGTTTTGTTTTTGCTATTAGTCTATCCATTAAAAAAATCTTGATAATTAATTGTGAAAGTCTACTTTTTAAGACCGTAAATACTGCCATATAATATTTATATATATATTTCTGTGAGAGTTATAATACAACTCTTATAATATTTCATTAACAGATTTAATTTATCCTTATAAAATTTTCTGGAGAGCGGCAGTGATATGTTAGCTTAGCTTTTAAAGTATCACTTTGGATAGTGTGTAATACCTAACAATTGTCTTAGAATGCTTTCTTAAGCATAATTTTAGATGTAGCTTGATAATCTCCTCAATTCAGAAATCAGTCATGATAAGAGATTGATTATAACTCAACTATTATGAAAGAAGGATTAATGGAATTTGTAGAGAATCGTAGAAAACTAAAACCAGTAAATAAAAACTCACTCTAATCAATTTCGTAGTTTATGTATATTTATAATAATAATTGTTTTTAAAACAGCATTTATTTTGAACTCTATGTGAGCATTCATTCTCACAAATGAATGGTGAAAAGCAACTTTAATAAAGGATAAATAACTGGAGAGACAGCTGAAGGGATTCTCCAGAGCCACACACTCAAGTCAAGAAATGCTACTCATTGCACTGTGAAAGGGAGATAACTAACGTTTGTCTCACTCCCTGTATCAGGCACTTTACACAATATCTTGTTAGAGGAATAGATTATTTATTTAATTTTCTCTAAGCTCAGAACCTTGCAGAGAGAGTGATGTGCACAATAAATGCTCTTTAACTGGAACTGGTTACTTTGGATAAGAGATCCAGATTTATTCCCAAGTGGAGAAGTTAAGGTAAAACAAACTGTGGAAGATAACTCCTCTCCCCCTCTAACTGCCCCCCTCTCCTAGGCCTTCATCAGAAACACCAACAAGATTACTCAGCAGGGACACTGCCTTCACCCGGGCAAGTGAGGTCTTCTTATAATAAACAATCTCAACTTAAGATGGACTCACAATAAAACTAGCATGAGGCAGTAAGCAGTTTTGACAAACAAGCTATTAGTAATCAAGAACAAGAGCTAATAGAACAACCTGATACAGACTGTACAATAATTGTGTGTAAATTGATTTAAAAGATATAAGAGAGTATAGAAACCCTAATGGAAGAACAACAACAACATCAACAAAAAATCAAAACCCATTGTCATCAAGTTGATTTTGACTCATGGTGACCACAAGTGGTCAGAGTAAAACTGCTCCATAGGATTTTCTTGGCTGTAATCTTTACAGAAGCAGATTGCCAGGCTTTTCTTCTGCAGTGCTGCAGGGTGGGTTTGAGCTGCCAACCTTTAGGTTAGTAGACAAATGCAAATCGTTTGTACCACCCAGGGATTTAATGGAAGAACAACAGCATGAAAAAAGAACAGGTAGTTTTAAAAAACATGAACTAGCATATCATATAAGGATGAGGAGAGAATCAGTGCTGTGGAAAATAGATCTGAGGGAATCACCCAGAATGTAGCATAAACAGATACAAAGAAGAAAAATATGAATGAGTCATTGTCTTAGGCTGGGTTCTCTAGAGGAGCAAACCAGTGAAGCATATATATATATACACACATACACAGATTTATCTCAAGGAAATGGCTCATGCAGTTGTGGAAGCTGGCAAGTCCCAAATCTGTGGGTCAGGCATCAGGCCGGAGGCTCTTCCTGACTTGTGTGGTTGTAGGGGCTGATGAAACCAAACTCAGCAGGTCAAGTGGAAGGCTGCTGGCTCACGTGTTTGAGGGAGCTAGTGACTCCCAAGATCTGCAGGTCAGGTGGTAGCTGCTGGCTCACATTCCAAAAACCGGAGGTCAGAGTGTGATGAGTTTGATGTAGGATCCAGAGAGAGCTTTGCCAGAACATCCATGTATATTGGATACAGGCTACACCTCCAAGGAAACTGATTGGCTTTCAGCTGATTGGCCTATCAGCTGATTGGTGGCTCACTTCAGATCACAAAATGGAGGATAATTACAAAATATCTGCCAAACCACTGAGAATCACGGCCTAGCCAAGTTGACACATAACCTTAACCATCACAGTTGTAACAGGTTTGCAGGACAGACTGAGAAGGTTTAACAGTTTCTAATTGAATTCTGGAAACTCTGGTGACGTAGTGGTTAAGAATTTGGCTGCTAACCAAAAGGTGGGCAGTTTGAATCCACCAGGTGCTCCTTGGAAACCCTATGGGACAGTTCTGCTCTGAGTCGGGATTGGCTCAACGGCAATGGGTTTGGTTTGTTTTTTTTAATTGAATTCTAGAAAGAAAAATGAAAGAGAATGGGAGTGAAGCAATATATAAAAGGATTTGGATGCAAACTTCCGTCAGTTTGAGACAATATTTCAGGTTGAAGGGGCATATTGAGTTCAAAGTAGGATAAATAAAACCAAATCCACAGCTAGACATACCTTTATGAACTATAGAGCATTAAAGACAAAAAGAAAACAATTTAAACACAAACCGTGACAACATATCTGTATTTGCAACAGGAAAAATCATGGGGTTCAGGTTCTGACTGTACCACTTGCGGCTGTGTCATCTCAGATGGTCACTTATTCACTTTGAGCCTCAGGGAATATCTGTCATTGGCCAGTGGGAGTAGGGGTGGATAAGAACAGGAACCAAGGTTTTGTGAGGTTTGAAATATTTTGAGAGAATATACGTAAAACATATTTTAAGATATTACACAAATGATGTTGTTGTTAGCTGTTGTAGAGTTAGCCCCTGACACATGGCAACCTCAAGTACAGTGGAACAGAATACTACCTGGTCCTGGGCAATCCCCATGATTGGTTGCAGATTGGACCATTGTGATTCATAGGGTTTTCATAAGCTCATTTTCAGAAGTAGATAGCCAGGCCTTTCTTCCTAGTCTGTCGTAGTCTAAAAGCTCTGCTGAAACCTGTTCGGCGTCACAACAACATGTAAGACTCCACTGACAGATGGGTTGTGGCTGTGCATGAGGTGCATTGGCCGGGAATTGAACCTGGCTGGGTCCCCTGCGTGGGGGATGAGAATTTTACCATTGAACTATCAGTGGCCCAGATACAAATGATGTTGCTGGTGTTAGTTATCGTTGAGTCAATTTCAAACGATAGCGACTCCATGTGTGCAGAGTAGAACTGCTCCTGATAGTTTTCAAGGCTGTGACCTTTTGGAAGCAGATCACCATGCCGGCCTGTCTTTTGAGGTGCTTCTGGGTGGGTTCAGACTACCAACCTTTCAGCTAGTAGTTGAGTGCTTAACCATTTTCACTACCCAGGCACCAATGTATTTGACTCTACCCTTAAATTATATATTTATAGGGTTACTATGAGTCAGAATCCATTTGATGCACACAACAACAACCCTTCCATTATAAACTCCTTAAGGACAGTATTTTGTTTTATTCTTTTGGCATTTCCTAGGCATAGAGCTTTGCTTGCAGTGTTGTTGTTGTTGTTAGGTGCTGTCAAGTCAGTTCCGACTCATAGCAACCATATGTACAACAGAACAAAACACTGCCCAGTCCTGCGCCATGTTCACAATTGTTGTTATGCTTGAGCCCATTGTTGCAGCCACTGTGTCAATCCATCTTGTTGAGGGTCTTCCTCTGTTTCGCTGACCCTCTGCTCTTGAAGTAGACACCCAAAAAATAGCCCTTAGTTGTTTTTGGATGAGAAATCCAAACTTTCCCTAGAATCATGTGATATAATTTGGTTCTCAGGGATCCCTAAACTTCATTGTCACTAGCTTGGGTAGCTTTTTATCTGCTGTCAGTCAGGAGGGATTAATCTTACACAGATAAACCTTTAGAGCTTCTGGTCTTCTTTTATTTTTTCCTCCTTCCCAGTAAGGTGAGTTGTCTTAAAATTCAAAGGTCATTTTAATGTGTTCACCTGAGGGAACCACTGGGTAACAGCTCTGTAACCAGTAAGTAATTACTGTATATACAGATACTTGGTCTCAGAGTATTCAGCTGGCACTGTTTCAAAGTATGAATCATTCTTTTATGTGCTCTGTCCTGCCCCTGGAAGCCTGGCTTTTCCGTAATCTAATATGTTAGGTCATTATCCTTGCTAGTTTGCTCTCATTTTCAACCTCCAGTCTTAGACTGGAAACCCTGGTGGTGAAGTGATTAAGAGCTATTGCTGCTACCCAAAAGTTCAGCAGTTAGAATCCACCAGGCGCTCCTTGGAAACTCTATGGTACAGTTCTTCTCTGTCCTATAGGGTCACTATGAGTTGGGATGGCAACAGGTTTGGTTTTTTTTTAGTCTTATACTCAACCATTTATCATCAGAGGATCCGTTCATATTTGGGACTCAGGGATCCCTTTTATCTTAAAGTCCAGGCTTGTCTATGACTCTGAACCCCATCGCAACGGAGCCTCAAAAGACAATCCCCTGAGTTGAGCTTGCCTTTACTCTGGTCAGCAGCCATAAGCAGATCTTGTCATTAATGCTCCATCTTTTTGTATAACTTATCCTTCTACAGCTCCTGCATTAAACCATTCTCTGCCTGAATGTATTTCCCCTATTCCCTTTGGCTTTAAAGGTCATTGCTTTTTCTCAGAATCACCTCCCAGAATTAGCACCTCTTTATTTCCAGATTCCTCTGCCAAGTTTCCAGAACACCCTTCCTTATTATTATTTTTTGGATAACGTGTAGAAACAATAGCATATCAACAGTTCAGCTACCTCAGTTCCTCTTGCTTCAGCAACACAAATGATTATTCTCAAATTAATTTTGAATTTTTTTTTGTTTTGTTTTTCGTACCCACTCTGTGATTTGTTCAAGTGAATCAT